GAGGGGCGGGCTATAAATAAAATATAAATTTATTATGTATTATATTATTATTATGTTCTCTTTGGGGGCGTGGACCTGCCTGATTCCCACACAGTGGCATTGTTCCTGAATGGCTTCTTTAGCTATCACCCCATGTTCCGGTAATGCGCCCTCCTAGATGTTCCGGTGCCAAAAAACACAACAACAACAACAACAACAACCTATGACAGGTTTGCCTTAATATTGCCATAAGTTGGAAATGACTTGAAGGCACCCACCACCACTAGCACCATAATTTTTTAATTTTTTAATTTTTAAATCCTATATTATGGAATGGCCTACCAGACGAGATCCGTCAGATTACAACCTTAGGCAGCTTTAAAAATGCTGTGAAGACGGATCTCTTCTGGCAGGCCTTTCCTGACTAGATTTCCTGGCCTCAGGAGTTTATCTATCTTCTCTTCCCCACTTTCTGCTGCAGTTGCTGCGAGTGTTTGTTACAGTCTATCTTGAAGAGATTATTTTAAACATGTTTTCATGCATATCTCTGTTTAATACATTTTTAAGGGGTGGGTGGGTTTCGGGATTGTTGGGCTGTTCTTATATTGTATTGTATTTATTTGTATGGTAATTTTAATGCTGTACGCCGCCCCGATTGCTTTGCGGAGGGGTGGGATATAAATAATAATAATAAATATTATTATTATTATTAATTATATAAAACAATATCCAACATTTGTTGTTGCTGTGTGCCTTTGAATTGTTTCTGACTTATGGTGACCATAAGGTGACCCTATCATGGGGTTTTCTTGGCAAGATTTGTTCAGAGGGGGTTTGCCATTGCCTTCCTCTCATGCTGAGAGTATGTGACTTGCCCAAGTTTACCCAGTTGGTTTATATTGTTGTTGTTGTTGTTTATATCCTGCCCTTTCCCCAAAACTGAGACTCAGAGCAGCTTGCAATATTAAAATGGCAGAGCAGGGATTTGAACGCTGCTCTCCAGAATCATAGTCCAATTGTTAAACCACTACACCACACTGGCTCTCCCTGCTCAATAACCAACATAGACTCATAAATACATAGCAAACAATATACAGAACTTAAAAAACATATCCCACAAAGACAAACATTATCACATACACACACACACACACACACACTCATATTCCTCAATACAAAAAGAATATTAAACACAAAAGATTTAAAAAATGACTTCTTGCTTTCTTATTAGAACCGTAAGTGAATATTTTAACTAAAATCCCTCCATAACATGTTCATTTACTATCCCTCCACCTTATGACATGAATTTATCTAGTTTTCAGATGCTACCATTTATGGTCTTTTTACCTGCAACCAGATATTGTATACATGGTTAATGTTAATATGACTGCCTCTGCCTGGCTCCAGCTTCTTACTGCTAGGCTCGTGAATGCATTACATACATTACATTACAAAATGAATCCCATTTTGGGAGAAAAGTGGGATATAAATTCAAATGAATGAATGAATATATGAATAAATAATAGCCTTTCAGAGGAATAAACAGTAACTTTTTTTCTTTCTTTCTCTCTTTCTGGAGAAAAACACACACATAAAATCCAGTGCACAGAGATTGGGGAAGTTATATTAAGAGTTGAATGCTGGATGAATAATAATAATAATAATAATAATAATAATAATTTTTATTTATATACCGCCCTTTGGCGAACCAATCCGGGCGGTGAACATCATAAAATACTGCTAACAGTAGTACAATCTAAGACATCCCTATCCCCCTCCCCCCTTAAAAAAGCATTAAATCCAAACAGTTTAAAAGAATACAATACAATTAATAAAATTTAAAATTTTTTTAAAACAATACCAACCGATAACCCTGCTGATTTCCTTAAAGACAGTTGGTCACACTTTCCAGGTCTAAGGCCGGGTTAATTAATCTGGAAATCCGCCAACTTGTAACTAGATAACTCAGTTTTTTCAACTGACCATTTCAGTTAGTTACAGCTGTCACCAGGGCCTGATATATCCCAGCACACTATCAGATGGGCCATAATGTCATTTTGTTGGTTTCAGTTTACAGCAAGGCTGAGCCTACTGCACTCATTCTGCAATGAAAGTCAACCAAATCATGCAACCCTGGCCATCAAAAACAACTTTCTGTAACCACTCCTTGCTGCCCATCTTCTCCAGGATGCTTTCACATTGATTTTCAGGGAGACTTGCTTCCGTGTTGAAAAACATTTACCGTACTGGGGATAAAAATAGTGTTTAGGGACTGAGCAAACACAGTGGCTTGTGTGTGCAGAGATGGATTATTAATTTTAATGTTTTTACCTTCATGTTGGCAGGAATTATTTCAGCCAAATAGGACTTAATAAATGATCTGGTCATAAACAATTTATCATTTCTCCAGCTACACAGAAACACTTCTTGTGGATTGCTACTGAAAAAAAAATAGCAAAAAAATAATTTTAAAAAAAGACAATGCTTAAGTGAAATGTATGTGTGTGAAAGAGAGAGACAAGGAGAAGGAAAGAATTGTATAGGTTTTAGGTTTTAACTCATAATAATGAGGTTTTCCATAGGCCTGCCTATGTTGGTGATTTCTCACACAAAAGTAATATTTTATTTCTGAGAAACACATGTATTCCACTCTTGGCAAGAGTCCTGAATGCAAGAGTTGTCTGGCAGCTAGTAGAAACACCTATGTACATCTGATGTACCAAATATGCATAGAGATTGGCCAGATCTACGGTACATACCAAATGTGTATGTGTGTGTGTGTTGTGTGCCTTCCTGTCTGACTTATGGCGATGCTTAGGCAAACCTATCTTGGGGTTTTCCTGGCATGTTTCTTCAGAGGGGGTTTGCTATTGCCATACTCTAAAGCTGAGAGTGTGTGACTTGCCCATGGTCACCCAGTGGGTTTCCATGGCCAAGCCAGGATTAGAACCCAGGTCTTCAGAGTTTTAGTCCAACACTCAAACCACAACACCATGCTGCTCTCATACCAAACTTACATCACATCTGTTGCCCCAAACAAGACCAAATAGGTCTAGTATAATCGGAGATGGAACTGTGCCTGTTAACCACCTTTCCTATGCCATTAAAGTGATTCCAGTCATACCTGTGCAAACATTCCTTTTACAACTATGATGAAGGGTTTGCAATGAAAATCAACATAGTGGGAAGGTACTACGTGATGATACATACCCATGTATCTTTATGTTCTACTTCTGCAACCAGTGTGGATGGACACTGTTGTGACATTTTTGCCTGGCCTTACATTATCTT